GAGGAGGCTCGTCCTGCAGGGTGTGGCGAGGCAAGACGAGGCAGGGCGGGGATGCCATTGTCACAGGGCAAGGCGAGGCAGGGGCGGCTGCTGCCTGACACCATCGGCCCCCGCACACAGAGGCCAGCGAGCACATGGGGACCGACAGTGTCCGTCAGCAGCCACATCCTGCCGGCCCCTCGACCGGCGCACTCTGGGGCTCCGCAGCCCATCGCCAGCAGTTCAGAGGAGCCGGATAGCCGACAGCTGAGGAGGCGATGCAGTGGGTCGTGCCTGGGAAAAGGAGAGCATGCGAGGCCTGGAGGGATGGGATCGGGGGGGAGGGAAACCAGCCATGCTTGGATACATCCGGCCACGTGGGACCTCGGCGAGTTAGCGGGCGGCTGGTTGAAGAGGGACGGTTGCCATCTCCGGGGCATGGCGCGTGTGCCCACAGAGAGGGCTCTGAGTGCCGCCTCTGACAAGCATGCCATAGGTTCGCCACCACTGGTATACGGTTTCCTGCCTGAGCAGGAGGTTGGACTAGATGACCTCCAAGGTCCCTTCCAACATTATTATTATTATTATTATTATTATTATTATTATTATTATTATTATTATTATTATTATAGGTACCTCGGGGGTAATAATAATAATAATAATAATAGTAATAATAATAATAATAATAATAATAATAATGATGATGATTATGATGATGATAATGATGATGATGTTGGAAGGGACCTTGGAGGTCATCTAGTCCAACCCCCTGCTCAGGCAGGAAACCCTACACCATTTCAGACAAATGACTGCGCAGTCTCTTCTTAAAAACCTCCAGTGTTGGAGCATTCACCGCTTCTGGAGGCAGGTGGTTCCACTGGTTAATTGTTCTCCCCGTCAGGAAGATATGATATTGTTGCCATTACGGAAACATGGTGGGATGAAACCCACAAATGGAACACACAGCTAGAGGGATTTAAATTATTCAAAAGAAACGGACCAAATAAAAGAGGAGGTGCTCTCTCTATAAGAAATAACTACTTCTCTACAGAAATAGAGCACAACAATGATGAAAACTGTCCAATCCCCTTTGTACTACCCCAGAGAAATGGCTGTCCAGTCTTTTCTGGAAAGCCTCCAGTGCGATGGAGGTAAGGCCAAAGCAAAAGGTTCTGAACGTGCTTTTCTTGGGTAAAGAAAGAAATACGAAAAACCTGCTGAATATATTTAAATCTATTTACGGGACCTGCTGCAGGGGTTTCCAAGGCAGAGGGACGGGAGCAACCGAAGGCCGCCTCGCCAGGGGGACGTGGAGGAGGAGAAAGAGCACGCCGAAGGAGGTGGGGAGAAGGGGGGACATAAACACCCGCTTAGCCCTGAAGCTCCAGACTGGCCCACCTGGAGGCCGTTTCGGTAGGGACAAGACCCCGGCTCGGACCCCCGTCAGAGCACCGAACAGCTCGAAGAAGAAGCAGTGCAAGGCCAGGAGACGTGCAGAGACCCACTTTCACGTTCTTTGCGTATGAACGTAACGTGCGAAACAGCTTAACTGGGCGACCCACATCTGAAGCAAAACCAGCCCTCCGTCCGACACTCTTAGCAACACGGCTGCGGTTCTTCCTCAGAGGCCTCAGGGGCAGCCCCGGATTCCACAAGCAAACCACATTTTACTTTTTTTTAGCCTCAAATACCAGACGATCCTTAAGGCACCCTTGTTCAGCAACTGTGGCTGACAATGGAACATTTGGGGGTGCAGAAAGGACACTGGATACAGGGAGTCCTCGACTTACAACCACAACTGAGCCCAACATTTTCTGTTGCTAAGCGAGACGCTTGTTAAGTGGGTTTTGCCCCATTTCATGAACTTTTCTGCCACGCTTGGTAAGTGAATTGTTACAGTTGTTAAGATAGCAATGTATTTGCTAAGTGAACCCAGATTCCCCATGGGCTTTGCTTGTCAGAAGCAAAGCCGAAGCAAAAAGGGAAACGGACCTCCTACCCCCTCCGTCAAAAGGGGGCTTCCTATAGGACAGTGGTTCTCAACCTTTTTAATGCCGTGACCCCAACTGGTCGTAAGTCGAGGACTAAACCGGTCGCAAGTCGAGGACTAAACCGGTCGTAAGTCGAGGACTACCCAACCGGTCGTAAGTCGAGGACTTTCCCTGCCCGGGAGCGCCACACATGCGTGGTTCCGCCCCCTGCGCCGGCCGAGGCGTAGCTGGCAAGCGGCAGAGACGGAGCAGGCCGACCACCAGCTGGCCCAGCCCAAGGGAGGTAAGGCACCCGCCGGAAAAGGGGGAAAAAATGGCGGACAAAAAAAATGGCGGACAGCCTTGCTTGGCGACCCCCATGAAATGGTTGATCGACCCCAAATGGGGTCCCGACCCACAGGTTGAGAACCACTGCTATAGGAAATCGAGGTCGTTTGGGGGGGCAGAGTTTGGGGGGCCCTGGAGGAGAGCTCACCTGCAGCGTGTGAGGGTTGATGTCCAGGGAGGAGGCAATGTGGGTCGAGGCCGGCACCGGCTCCTGTTCTTCCACCAGGGTCTCTTCCGCCATAGCGTCCTGCAGCAGCTCTTGGGTGACGTCTGCCATGTCGCTGTCGAATTCGACAACCTTCCCCAGATGGTCGGCCTCCGGGCTCTGCGAGGGTCAAGGGGTGAGGTAACCTTTGTGGTCGCTTTTTCTGCGAACACACTGGCACACGCTCAACAGGAAATCTGCATGCCCCCTCTCAAACGAAAATAGGTATGCATCTATGAGCCATGGTGGCGCAGTGGTTAGAAGGCAGCTGTCATGGTTCCGACAGATGAAACTCGAGGCATTGTTTACCTTAAAGAATCTTTATTTTGAGTAGCATAACATCGGCACTGCATAATCGAAACCAAAAACTGGAGTCCCCTCCCCTGAGCACATAGTATCAAAGCACAATTCCCTCCTCCAATTAACAGTCATAAATCACATTCCCCAATTAGCTTGAAGCGCAGGCTTCCTCTCCAGTTCTCCAGCCCCACAATTCCTTATCAGCTCTGGTTACAATAACCTTGATTCTCACCCTAGGTCTAGTGTTGTTGTTATGTCTAGCTGGACTCTCGTTCACATCCCCCCCCCCTCCCAGCATCATCTAACTCTAAAAGCAAAAGGGAAAAGATGGCTACATTTCCATCTGTTGTCAATGCAAAAACATCCGATGTTAGCAGCGTTGACAGCAGTATTGCAGGCTAATTCTACCCACTGCCAGCAGTTCGAGTCTCACCGGCTCAAGGTTGACTCAGCCTTCTGTCCTTCCGAGGTCGGTGAAATGAGGACCGATTGTTGGGGGATCTGTAAACTGCTTATAGAGGGCTGTAAAGCACTATGAAGTGGTATGTAAGTCTAAGTGCTATTGCTACATATACACACATATACATACCCATACATACACACACGTATACATGTGCTGTATATATGCACACGCATATATATATACATACACGTACACACACACACACACAAAAAAACATATTAATCACTGTCCATTATGAATACATAGCAGAAAAAAGAGTCTTCAGAGTTTACAAGATTGATACTATATGGTACAAAGGTATTACAGGACCTGGATGTTCTGCTTCAGAGACCACAAAGCCCTTTCCACGAAGGTAACAAAGAACGTTGGGCATGAAGAGGGTGTGTAGCGTTCCAGACAATACAGCGAAGCCCGGTCAAGCACAGGCCACATCCTGGATGGAAGGAAGGGAACTTCCAACCATCTTTTCTGCCCTCCTCACCCTTCTTTGGACAGACTTCCTGTCCTTCCAAACCAGACAGGGATCCAGGATTAGCAGCCCTGGGCTCTCTGGGAGGTCCACATGGTGCCCAGGCACCCTGTCCAGTTCTAGATTGAGCCAAGGACCCCAACCTATGGACCCACTGAGCTGGCAAAGGCTCCCTTTCTCTATGCCCAGAAACAGTGTCGTGGTGCAAGGCCACCAGATACAGGGTTGTGCTGCTACCATGTTTTAATAGAAGAGAATGTGTGTAATTCAGGATTAAATTGTCTGGTCCTCGTGTGGTGCTCTCTGAGCTATTTTCTTGCGGACGTTTCATGACCCAGCCAGGGAACATCATCAGTGCTAGAAGGGAGGGAAGCTTGCTCCCTGTTTACATACAAGTGGCTTGCCCCACTCACTTCCAGCACTGATGACGTTCCGTGGTCGGGTCACGAAACGTCTCCAAGGAAACAATCCAGCTCAGAGAGCGCCAAGGACCCCATGCCATAAGGTCACTCTCAGCTCTGCCTGGTTCAGTTTGGCGCCTCACAGGCATCCTGCCATCGAAAGAAGAAGGGGGAGGAAGGATGAAAGGGCAATAAAGCTTTGTGTGTACATGATAGGACATCGGGGGGGGTGGGTGACAGGCGAGAAGGACCACAGCAGCCAGATCCTGTTTGTACCAGCGTCCCGTGGCCAGGCATCCTGAGAAATATACGGATTACACACACACACGCACCAAACACCTCAGAGTTCTCAACACATCTTGGCGAGCTCCAGTTGGCTGGAAACGGGCTGGTCATGGTGGGGAGGGATGGCCCGGAGGCATCCTTATTTTTGTATCCAGCGAGCACGGTAATTTCAGAGCTGGCTTGACTTTACTGCAACCAACATCCCTAGTAAAAGAACCCTTTGCTTCAACCAGACGGGAGTCGAAGGCGTTTCTCTCCTAAGGGATGGGATGGGGGCAGGTCTGACAGTCCCCGTCATCCATCTGAATTTCAAGGTCCTGTTCCAGGCGAGGAGAGTGTGGAAAAGGGGACGAATTTATCCAAATAGTGCATCTGCTGCACCTTTTACGGAAGTTGCTGGGTGTGGCGGTCAATTTCACTGTCTCGCCTCCAGTTCTCTGGGGTGGGGCTGGGAACCCCAGCAAATGCCCCTTGAGGTGCAAGGGGGGGGGGAATGGCAGGACATTCCCCAGAGGACCCCTTTCCAACTTGTTCGTGTTGGCATCCTTTGCCCTCTGCAGGACTTATTTTAAGAGGGCACTTATTGTTTCCCTACCTTGGGAGGAGGTGCCAGCTTCCCAGGTGCAGCCATCTGGTGAGACATCGGCTGGCCCGGCAGGGGCAGCTGAGCAGTTTTTAATTTCTTGGCCTCCACTTTGGCCAGGTTGTCCTCCTCTTCCTCATCGGAATCCTGCAGGCCGTACTTTGAGAAGTGGGCCACCTGGACGGAGAAAAGAGTCGCATTTTACACACCAGGAGAGGGTTAGTTCCAAGGGAACACAATGCCCTGCCCATTATTTCCTGCTCACTGTCATCACCCTCTGAAGATGCTCCAACAGCAAGCAGCAATATGGGCTCTTATTACCCTTTTCATCACCCTTATCACAGCACCCACGTTAACCTATCTGGGTAGGGAAACGTTGGCAGGAAAACCCCCAAGGTCAGAGAGCACCACGGGCCCCTACTGGCCTCCTCCTCCACCTCTTCGCAAACCCCTCTCTCTCTCTTCAGGCACCCCAAAATGCACGTTGGGGCGCTCCTTCTGCCTGTTCCTTATGATTTCTCAAAAGAACGGGGACCCCGACCGCCCCAGGGCCCGGGCTCTCGGTCTGCCTGGCGGAAGAGGAGGTTACCTTGAACACCCATGAACCGGTTTCGGGGCGGTACTCCTTGAACTGGGCTCCCTGTTTCCGAGAGACGGCTTCCAGCCGGCCTTCGTAGTTCATCTCCGCCAGCCGCTCTGGGCTCTTGATCAAGCAGCGCGAGGTCTTGTCCGTGGGCCAAACCCCGTCTAAGGTGACTTCGGCTCTCCTGCTCGAAAGAGGAAGTTGGAGGGTTGAAATGAAGACATCTAAGAGGTGTGTGTGTGTGTGTGTGTGTGTGTGTGTGTAGAGCAGTGCAGCATGCTGGGGTTAACACACATATAAGGATAAAAGGCATCCATTGCTCCCATCTATCCATCTCGAGCATGGTTAGCGGATTAAGAGAAGGCTTCACCTCCATTCCATTGTGCAGGTTGTCCTCAAAATTATGACAACTGACCCAAAATGTACGTTGCTAAGCATAAGTGAGTTTTGCCCCATTTTATGACCTTCCTTGCCGCAGTCGTTAAGCGAATCACTGCAATTGTTGCGTTAGGAACACGGCTGTTAAGTCAGTCTGGCTTCCCCCCTTTGACTCTGTTGATCAGAAGGTCGCAAAAGGGGATCACATGCCCTCCCCCGGGACACTGTGTGACTGTCATATATATACAAGTCAAGCTTGAATTTTGATCAGGTGACCCTGGGGATGCAGCAATGGTCATAAGTGTGAGAAATGGGCATTGGTTACTTTTCTCAGTGCTGTTGTAACCCTGGATGGTCACTAAGCGGATTGTTGTAAGATGAGGAGTATGTGCGTATTGCTTCCTTCATTAGCTATCTGATCATCTTAATATTAAATTGTTTTAAGTCTTTTATATCGTCATTTTTATCTTGCTGTGAGCCGCCCAGAGTCGCGAGATGGCGAGATGGGCAGATGTCAATGTGATAAAGGGGACGAATGAATAAAAGGGTCCCGGGCTTCACCTGTTCAGGCCCTCCCCGATGGGGGGCTTCAGTTCGTCATCCGGGTAGACGATGACCTCTTTCCTGCGGATGTGCACGATCTCGTCCAGGTTCAGGCTGGTCAGACTGACCTCGCCCTCGAAGTAGATGGAGCCGTAGCCTGAGTAGGAGAGACGGTCCCGCCGTTAACCGGCCACCCTGGGGCCCTGTGGGAAGCCACTCCACAAGCACTGGGGGGAGGGGAGGGGGAGACCCACAAAATGCAGGGGAAGGGCAGGCAGAGCTGGGCAGGTGGAGTGACATGTGTCTCACCCATTTACAATCGCTGTATTGCCAAGCCGGGCCCTCCCCCCCCCCCATCCAGCCTGTGAATTGTTAGAACAATTAACCAGTGGAACCACCTGCCTCCGGAAGTGGTGAATGCTCCAACACTGGAAGTTTTTAAGAAGATACTGGACAGCCCTTTGTCTGAAATGGCGTAGGGCAGCGGTGGTGAACCTATGGCACGGGTGCCAGAGGCGGCACTCAGAGCCCTTCCTGTGGGCACGCGCGCCGTCGCCCCCGTCCTAGGCCTTCAGCTGGGTTTTATAAAACCTTTTCGCTTTAGGCCTCCGCCGCCGTGTGCAAAAAAAAAAAAGGTTCAATCAATGAGTCAATTTCAACTTCTCGCAGGAAAAAAAAAGATCTTGCAAAGTTAGAATTGATTGATTGAACTTTTTAGTCCCACCCAGTCTGCCGTTACCACTGTAGCCACGCCCACCCAATGGGCCACACCCACCCGGCACCCGACGATGCGTAAGTGGGTTTTGGGTTGCAGTTTGGGCACTCGGTCTCTAAAAGGTTCGCCATCACTGGTGTAGGGTTTCCTGCCTGAGCAGGGGGTTGGACTAGATGACCTTCAAGGTCCCTTCCAACTTAATAATAATAATAATAATAATAATAATAATAATAATAATAATAATAATAATAATAATAATAATAATAATATTCCCCTGACCCATACCTAGCACCTATTTGTGCCAGCAGATTTAAATAAATGCAAAGGAGATTTATTCAGCCTGACGAATGGTCCGGATTCTTCCACCTGGCACCCAAATGTCAGCCATAGGTTGGCTCTACAGGCACCCAAAAGGTCTTGCCTAGGAAAACAGCTTTTTTTTGGGGGGGGGGGGAGATTGTGGATTTCTTAAGGGTGCCATTTCCCCCCCCTCATGATTCCCCTCCTTTATTCCAGGGAAGAATCAGTGGGCTTCAGACTTTAAGAGATTACCAATTCCAGGGGGAGATGTGAAAAAACTCGCATCAACCTTGAAATGCAAACTGTCAACTGTCCAATACAGGCAGTCCTTGAGTTATGACCACAATTGAGCCCAAAATTCCTGTCGCTAAGTGAGGCAGTTGTTAAATGAGTTTTGCCCCATTTTACGGCCTTTCTGGCCACGGATGATAAGGGAATCCCTGCAGTTGTTAAGTTAGCAACAAATTCCCCATTGATTTTGCTTGTCAGAAGGTCGCAAAAGGGGATCACGTGACCCCTGGGACACACTGTGACGGTCGTAAGTATGAACCAGTCTTAGCCGGGAGTCTCAGCCAGAGCAACAGGTGAGCTGACAAATGGGAGCTGGCAGAAGCTGGTCCCGCCCGCTCACCTTTACGGCCAATAGTGAAGTCGGTCACGAAGCATTCTCCTTGGTCATCGGTCATCTTGGCCAACTCCTCCAGGGAGGGAATGGTGTAGTAGCCCACTCGTGTCAAGACAATTCCTGGAAAAATAAAAATCTGAGCGAGGGTCCTTCCCCCCAAAGCCACACACAGCAATGGGGTCTCTGAGTACATTAACCAAGCACGGAACGTGCCTGTAAGGCAGAGATGGAGAACCCACGATGCAACGGCCGACGTTTTGGGTGTAGGCCGGTCTTCCCCAATGCCCGACTACAATTCAAAGCAGGACTCTGAAAATGAGCTTGTTTTGCTTCTATTTCATACACAGCACCAGACGTGACTGCATTTTTTTTTAAAATAAGCATGTAATTCTTTGCATGTAATGATACCCTCAGAGCCGACCCCAGCCAGTTCACAGAACGACTCCAAGAAGCAGAGCGAGATCGGAAGGCGTGGAGAGAGACCACCCGGCCGGTGAGATCGCCAAGGGTCTGACTTGACTGAACGGATAACGACGTCACCATCGCATGTAATAGATATGTAAACAATTGTTTCTCTTTTGTTGGTGTGTTTGTGTGTGTGTGTGTGTGTGCGTGAGAGAGACAGAGAAGAGAGAGAGAAGAGAGAGAGAGAGGAGAGAGACAGAGACAGAGAGAGAGAGAGACAGAAAGAGAAAGAGAGAGAGAGAGAGAGAGAGAGAGAGAAGAGACAGAGAGGAGAGAGAAGAGAGAGAGAGAGAGAGAGAGAGAGAGAGAGAGAGAGAAGAGAGGAGGAGAGGAGAGAAGAGACAGAGAGAGAAGAGACAGAGAGAGAAGAGACAGAGAGAGAGAGAGAGAGGAGAGAGAAGAGAAGAGAGAGACAGAGAGAGAAGAGACAGAGAGAGAGAGAGAGGAGAGAGAAGAGAAGAGAGAGAAGAGAGAGAGAGACCAGCAGAGTCAAGTTAAGCATTTTGTGCATTTCTGACCCTGAGCCCAAAAGAGCCGCCACGGTACTTATAAGGAGCGCATCCGGTTCAAAGGCCGGCCCAGATTCTGCTACGGCGTTGGCAGGGGGGGCACGGAGGGGTCTGGGGGAGGAGGGCATTCATTTTCCAGGACTAGGACCCGCTGGGTGCCAGTCAGGGAAACTGGCCTCCTGACAGCCACAGCTGGGTGATCCGGACAACGCTTTTTTTTAAAGGAGGATCTGAAATTCCACTGGTGGGTTTGGGCCTTTTGGAAGAGACACAAACGCCCGGGGCCGGCAAGAGATTTGGGCCACGAACCACAGCGTGGCTTAGTTTTTAGAACGCCCAGCTGAGTCACTTGGAGCATCACCCAAACAAGGGCGAGGGAAGTCACGGGGGAGGACGAGGCCAATGACTGCGTCCCGGAAAGCCTTCTTTTCATCCCAATAAACCACCAGTTTGGTCTGGGGGTTAAGGAACCAGGCTAGAAACCAGGAGACGGAGAGTTCTAGTCCCGCCTTAGGCATGAAAGCCAACTGGGCGACTTTGGGCCAATCACCAGGAGACGGTGAGTTCGAGTCCCGCCTTAGGCATGACAGCCATCTGGGTGACTTTGGGCCAATCACTAGGAGAAAATGAGTTCTAGTCCCGCCTTAGGCACGAAAGCCAGCTGGGTGACTTTGGCCAGTCCCTCTCTCTCTCAGCCCAACCCACCTCACAGGGCTGTTGTTATTGTTGTGAGGAAAATAAGAGGAAGAAGAAGTATTAAATATGTTATGCTGCCTTGAATTGCTTTTAAAAAGATAATCGAGGTGGGATAAAAAAGCATAAAGAAACAACTAACACTCCCGCTGGGTGACCGAGGCTCGGGACGCCTGTGAGAAGGCCGAGCTCACCTGCGGGGTGGGCGGGGAGGAGCTGGTCTTCGCTCTCCTTGTCCTGCTCCTCCTGCAGGGAGTCCTCGTGGTAGGAAGCTTCCTCCGTGCTGTTCTCCAGCCCGTTGCGCAGCCCCGGCCGCACATTGAGGGCCACGAGGGTGTCGTCCACGCTGTTGCTGTGGTGCTTGTGCGGGGCGTTCTCTGGGGTCTGGGGGAGGGGCTTGGCGATGGAGTTGGCTAAGAACCTGGACATCTCCCGGGAGTAGCTTTCCTCTTCCTGCTCTTCGTCCGGCTGGTGGTCCTCATTCACCGACCTAAAGAGGAGATTTGGTCAAAGGAAGGCGAGCGGGCAGGGGGAGACCCTCATCGCTTCAGGAGGTTACTCTGCCGCGTCTCACACGAGGAAGAGGACGGATTTCTCCGGCCTGGGTTTTCAGTCCTGGACGATGCCTCTTTTGGAGGATGGCCCAGCTGCACCGTAAGACGGGGGCATCTAATCTTGGCAACTTTAAGACCTGCGGACTCCCAGAATTCTCCAGCCAGCCACGCTGTGTGGACCGGTGGACTTTAACTCCCAGAAGACCTGTGGACTTCAACTCCCAGAATTCTGGGAGTTGAAGTCCAGTTGAAGTCCAGAGGTCTTAACGTTGCCAAGGCTGGATACCCCTTGGTGTAGATTCATCTCCCTAAGTTGTGTAATCTGCCTTTCTGGCTGCTTTGCCCTGGAGAACACACAATCCCCAGTTCATAGTTATCTGGCAATGGCTGCGACGTTCTGAGCCCATTCAACCCAGTCACAGTGGGGAAGGTCCAGAATGGAGACCACCGGCTCAGGGTCAGCGGCCTTCCAGTAGAACTGGATGCAATTCCTCCTGCTAAGGAGCTCAGTCCAGCAGGCCTTGCCATTTATTTTATCGGGGGGGGGGGGGGGGGGGGAATTGGGTTTTGCATTGGGGTTTATTTCTGTAAGCCACCCAAGTGGGGCAGCCATATCAATTTTCTTAATAAATAAATAAATTCAGAAACCGCCTATCCCCCTCACAGAGGGCTCTGGGCAATGTGCGAATAAAAAATTAAAAAAGTGATTCTGAACCTTGGAGGCTTTAAGATGGATGGGCTTCAACTCCCAGAATTCCCTAGCTAGCCATGCTGGCTGGAGAATTCTGGGAGTTGAAGTCCGCCCATCTTAAAGCCATTGAGGTTGAGAAACACTGGATCAAAGCATAAAAACTATATATATAACAACTAAATAAGAGGCAAGGAGAGTTCATATTCAACGTTAAAGTGAATTAAAAGGCAGGGAGAAAGCCTTCAGGGCACCATCTGCCCCATGTGCTCCTCCGGGCCCCCCATCCGAGATCACAGAGCTGTGTCTTAACCCGTTTTCAGAAGGCCAGGAGAGTAGGGGTCTGCCTCACCTTCGGGGGGACGGGAGGATATTCCACAAAACAGGGGAAAGGGCAGAGAAGACCCTTTCCCTGGATCCAACCAATCACAATTCTTTAACTGGCGGGGTCTGCAAGGTGCCTTCCCTGCCTGACGGGTGGGATGGGCTGATGTGATGGGGATAAGACGGTTCCCTTAGGTGGCAGCTTTATAGCTAGGCCAGGGATAGGCAACCTTGGCCCCTTCATGACTCGTGGACTTCAACTCCCAGAATTCCTCAGCCAGCCTGGCTCAGCTTGGAAACGTCTCTTTTCCCTCAGCATGGCTGGCTCAGGAATTCTGGGAGTTGAAGTCCACGAGTCATGAAGGGGCCAAAGTTTTCCCCATGCTGGCTGAGGAATTCTGGGAGTTGAAGTCCAGGAGTCATGAAGGGGCCATAGTTCCCCCATACTGGCTGAGGAATTCTGGGAGTTGAAGTCCACCAGTCATGAAGGGGCCAAGCTAGGAGAACTGCATATGGCCAAACTGCAGCTGGGGCTATTTTTAAAAATGGCTTCTGCTTGTGACATAAAGGAACCGGGCAGAGATTGGGGGGGGGGGGTTGGTAGACGTACCGATCCCCGTTCTCAGGATAGATGGAGGGTGAGGCAATGTCGTCCACTTCGGCACTGCCGGGAGAGAAGACGCTGCTGCTGTTGAGGTTCTTCAAAACCAGTTTCTTGATGCTCTTCCTGGAGGAGGGAGAGAGAGAGAGAGAGAGACTGACACCCCGTTGGAAATTATCCTGTGAAGCCAAGCCAGGGGAAAGCTGCCTGGTCGATTCTGATCTTCCCCCCCCCTTTGCACTCGATCCCTGTTGAGGTCACTGATGTTGTGGTTCTCTTTTGGTAGGAGGTGGTAGGTGTAAAGGAGGAGAAAGTCCTGACAGATGAGAGTCTTTGTAGCTCGGGGGTTGAACTGTGGGGCCCTAGATGTTCTCGGAGTTTGGTGGTTTTCTTGGAGACGTTTCATGACCCAACTAGTGAACATCCTCAGGGCTAGGGAGGAGGAGGAGGAGGAGGAGGAGGAGGAGGAGGAGGAGGAGGAGGAGGAGGACTGTGAGGTCCTTGTTGCTCTCTGAGCTGGGTGGTTTACCTGCGGACGTTTCCTGACTCAACTAGGGAGCATCCACAGTACTGACGATCTCACCTAGTTCAGGGGTCTGCAACCTTGAGCACTTTAAGACTTGTGGACTTCAGCTCCCAGAATTCCTCAGCCAGCAAAGCTGGCTGAGGAATTCTGGGAGCTGCAGTCCACAAGTCTTAAAGGGCTCAAGGTTGCAGACCCCTGAACTAGTTGGGTCATGAAATGTCTGCAAGAAGACAACCGAGCTCAGAGAGCACCAAGGATCCCCCCAGTGCTGCTGATGCTCCTTCTCCTCCTTCTCTCTACAAATCTCACTCCCTTCCAGCACGGATGACGTTCCCTAGTTGGGTCATGAAATGTCTGCAAGACGACAGCCCAGCTCGGAGAGCACCCGGGACCTCAATTCCTCTCTTCTAACTTGTGGTCACTTATTCTGAGCAACAGATTAAGCCCAGACGAGGAAGGCGAAGGAGGAGGCAGGCCAACTTCAACTTCAGTTGGATCTCCCCAGGACATCCCGAGAACCGAAGTTCAATAAGAGAAGGAGAAGGAAGCACAGAAGACTCTGCCAGGTCCCATCAACCAAGAATTCCTAAAGCCAGGAGGACGGCTCCAATAGCTAGTCTGGGATCAGGCCTGAAGTCTGAGAAAACGCTTTAAAAGTTACTGAGGGACATCAAAGGAATTGTCCACGCCTGGGATTCAAAGGCAGATTGTTTAGCACCATCTCAGTCAACCATAAGGGTATCCAACCGTAGCAACTTTAAGATCTGTGGACTTCAGGTTATCCTGGTTGGATGCCCATGGTCTACAACAGGGGTCTTCAAACTTGGCCCTTTGATGACTTGTGGACTTCAACTCCCAGAATTCCTCAGCCAGCTTGTCCACAAGTCATAAAAGGGCCAAGTTTGAAGACCCCTGCTTGCGGACTTCAACTCCCAGGCAAGCTGGCTGAGGAATTCTGGGAGTTGAAGTCCACAAGTCATCAAAGGGCCACGTGTGAAGACCCCTGGGCTACAATAACAGGGGACCCTGAAGGAGAACCCGAGGAGGGGCTGTGCCAAGTGAGGAGGCTACTAACTTGGGCATGAAGGCGCCATTGGTCAGGGAAGGCTCGTCGTCATCCAGACCATCGAAAAGGTGGGATTTGGAAGAGCCGCTCGTCTGCAAGGCTTTGGGGCGCACGCGGGTCGCCGGGCGGGGCGTCAGCTTGTAATGCGTGGGCGTGGTCAGCGCCTTCTGGGCCGCCGGGTTGGTGGGCTTCAGCCTCTGGAAGGAGGAACAAGCATTATGGGCTGGAAAGGCCTCTGTGCCATCCCTGCCTGTGTGTGTGAAGGCAACAACTGCCAGAACTCCCCCACCCCCCAAAAAAAGTTGCTAGGTGGGCCCACCCGATGCCAGCCCTCTCGGTTTCCATCCCAGCTGTACTTCCCTCCGTGCCTCACCTCCTCCTTCTTCTTTGGGTCAGACATGGGGTTCCGGAAGAGCGGCGAGTCCCCGAAGGGCGAGTAGGTCAAGCTGTTGAGGTGCTGCTGCAGAACGGCCTGCTGGGCCGCAGAGGCGTTGGGATCCGTCAGAGCTGAGGGGAAAAGGAGGGCAAGGATGAGCCCGCCGGATGCCCCTCAAGGGGGGTGGGGCAAAGGCCCCCTCCTCCGACAGCGGCAGAGACTGACAAGAGTTGGCAGGGGGCAGATAAGCGGCTGGCAGCTTCAAGCATGCCAGGAGCAGGTGTGGAGGTTGCCCTACTGGGGCACGAGCGACTTACCCACGGCAGGCTGTGGCGCTCCGAAGCCCAGCGTGGCGGTCGAGGTGTTAAATCCAGGGGCACCAAAGGCTCCTGTCCCGAGCGTGCCCCCCAGCTTGGGCTGCGTGTTGCCAAACAGCGAATTCTGACCTGCATTAAGGGCTGCATTAGGAGGGGAGGGAAAAGGGAAGGATGGGGGGGGGGAAGCGACAGTGATCAAGCAGCCACTGCCAAGGCATTCAGAACTTCCTCAAACAGTCCGGAAAGAAGAACGGTGTGTGTTGTGTGTGTTGTGTGTGTCTTAAGATGCTCCAGGAAAAATGCTTCCGCCGGCCAATGTTGGTTTGGCCGGACTTTTTTTAAAAAAAGAGAGACATAATTAAACTTAGCCACCTTCTCTATGGTGTTATTTACATTGTATCGCCACTGGTGGTGCAGTGGTTAAAATGTGCTATTGCAGGCTGATTCTGCCCATAAGCTGGAGTTCGATCTTGACCGGCTCAAGGTTGCCTCAGCCTTCCACCATCCTTCCGAGGTCAATAAAATGAGGACTCAGGTTGTTGGGGGCAACAGGCTGACTCTGTAAACCACTTAGAGAGGGCTGTAAAACACTGTGAAGCAGTATATGAGCCTAAGTGCTCTTGCTATTGACTCAGCTATCCGTCCTTCCGAGGCCGGTAAAACAAGGACCCAGATTGTTGGGAGCAACATGGAAATAATGCTTCAACATTATAAACCTCCCAGAGAGCGAGAGGTAAAGCTCTATGGGGGTGGTACGTAACTCCAAGTGCTAGTACTACTTCCACTTCACTAGGTGTAGCTGATTCTAGGAGAGAAGCAACCTGGAACTAAGAAGAAATTTTCCTGACAGTGAGAACAATTAACCAGGGGAACCACCTGCCTCCAGAAGCGGTGAATGCTCCAACACTGGAGGTTTTTAAGAAGAGACTGGACAGCCATTTGTCCGAAATGGTATAGGGTTTCCTGCCTGAGCAGGGAGTTGGACTAGATGACCTCCAAGGTCCCTTCCAACTTTATTATTATTGTTATTATTATTGATCATCGCACAGTCAGCCAGATGTTCAGACTGGATCTGGCCTTTTTGTCTACCTATCGAGTCCTTCCCAAGGACCTGGGATAGTCAGATGTGGAGTTTTGATGGTATTACAGATCTCGTCGCAGGATGGAAGCAGTTCCTAGTAAGGCTGCCTTTTGCAATTTACTAATGGCGAATTTGTCAATGCCGATGATGGTGTCCAAGTGGTGCTCCAGTTGTTTTGGGATTGCACCCAAGGCGCCTATTACTATTGGTACTACCCTTGCTTGCCTTTGCCAAGGGTAGTACCAATAGTAGTAGTAGTAGTAGTAGTAGTAATAATAATAATTATCATCATCATCAATTCCACAGGAAGGCTAAAACTACTTTTATTGAGATGGGCTCCAATAACACAATCTGGCAAGCCCGATTGTGCTGCTGTCTCCTCCTCCTGGCTCAGCAAATTAGGGAGGTGCCCATCGGGGCTGCTTCCATTATCTGGGCCTGCTGGACTTAAAAAAATGTTCCAACCTCTTTCACCTCTTCAATGGCTTTCCCATATCCTCATCACGGTCACCTTCCTGCCTCTGTAGATTCACTGTCAAAACCTGACTGGAAGAGCCAGAGGTGAAAGGGGGGGGGGCTTTTATAATACCCACAGATAAATCAACAGACAGCCAGGCTGTCAGCTAAGTGCTAATCCATCACAAATGGGATCATATTTGGCTTCAAATCATCTGTTGATTGTGCAGAAACTTGTTTTTTTTGGCCTCACGTTAACAGAAGCTGGTTTTTAATCTCTGTTTTAGTAAAATGAAACAAAATAAGAACGGGAAGAAATGTCTGTTGAGATTCTCCGTCATCTCGTCCACAGTTCACCCAAAACTGCTTTGTCAAGAGGCAACTGGACGTTCTTCGTTTTTCCTTGAGGACCTTTTGCTTCTCAACCAAGAAGCTTCTTCAGTTCTGGCTGAGTGGTGGAAGATGGAAGGAGTTATATTCCTTGCGGGCATCTGGTCATTGAGGAGCTGCGATGGTCTGAGGCTACCTGTGTTTCATGATTACTTTGGCACCCCGATTCCTGGCCGAACTTTCTAGAGAAGGTTCAACCCTCCGGGCTGATAGCTCCCCAATCTTACCTGTCCCGAATCCTGCCCCGAGGCCTGGGCCCAGAGTCCCGGTCGCAGGCTTGTTTCCAAAGAGGCTGTTTCCTGTGGTGTTTGCATTGAACCCTAGGGGAGAAGGGTTAGGGTCAGTGGCTTTCTCTAGCTTCAGCCCCTAGGGTGGTAGAAAACCAAGCCAGGTTTGGCCAAGTCTTCTTCAGAAGACACGACCCTCTGAGGCCCTGGGGCTGCCTCTGGCCCCCAGGAACGCGGCCGGCCTCGAGTGCAATTTTCAGCGGGATGAAAGGGGATTAAATGCATAACTGGAAAAATCACAGGTAGTCTTCTAAAACAGGGGTCCTCAATCTTGGGCACTTTAAGACTTGTGGACTTCAACTCCCAGAATTCCTCAGCCAGCTGGGAGTTGAAGTCCACAAGTCTTAAAAGTGGCCAAGGTTGAGGACCCATGCTCTAAAAGAACCGCTGTAAGTCAACGATTACCTGTATTGCCTATATAGGTAGTCTTTGACTTACAACTAGTCACTTATCAATCGTTTGAGGGGTACAATGGACGCCCCCCCCTCCGAGCTACTTAAGACTGGTGGACTTCAACTCCCAGAATTCCTCAGCCAGCATGAGGGAAACTTTGGCCCCTTCATGACTGATGGACTTCAACTCCCAGAATTCCTAAGGAGCATGGGGGAACCATGGCCCCTTCATGACTGGTGGACTTCAACTCCCAGAATTCCTAAGGAGCATGGGGGAACTATGGCCCCTTCCTGACTCGTGGACTTTAACTCCCAGAATTCCTGAGCCAGCATGGGGGAAACTTTGGCCCCTTCCTGACTCGTGGACTTCAACTCCCAGAATCCCTGAGCCAGCCTGGCTCAGCTTGGAAACCTCTCCCTTTCCCCTCAGCATGGCTGGCTCAGGAATTCTGGGAGTTGAAGTCCACGAGTCCTAAAAGAGCCAAGGTGGCCCACCCCTGGAGTAGCCCTTGCTTTTGAAGATAAGGAAGGCCCACAAGGCTCAGGGCAGGCCCAGCCCCTTTTCCCCCGACTCTCAGGAGACTCAACTCCAGAGACACAAGCGAATAGAGCGGCCACTGACCCGACAGTCAGCTCACCCTTCCCAGCGCAGAGCCCTCCAATACAGGCAGTCCTCGACTTACAACCACAACTGAGCCCAAAATTTCTGGTGCTAAGCGAGACAGTTGTTAAGTGGATTCTGCCCCAGTTTACGACCTTTCTTGCCGTAGTTATTAAGGGAAGCGCTTCAATTGTTAAATGAGCAACACGGGTTGAGAAGGGAATCTGGCTTCCCCCGTTGACTTTGCTCGTCAAAGGTCGCAAAAGGGGATGATCACGTGACACCCCCCCCCAGGACACAGCAACGGTCATAAATACGAGTCGGTTGCCAGGCGTCTGAATTCCGGTCACGTGACCCTGGGGGATGCTGCAATGGTCTTAAGGGTGAAAAACAGTCCCTTTTTTCAGTGCCTTCGTTAACTTCGGTCGCTAAACGAACTCTTGTTAAGTCGAGGACTACCTTGTGTTATCGATATACACCTGCCAGCATCCTTAGCCTGCGAGGGGCAGGGAGAGACTGAACGAGCTCACACACCCCAGGTTGGGGAAAGAAGATGTGTGATGTCTCGGGGGCCGGGGGCAAGAACTGAGTTGTCAACTTTTGTTGTTTTTAGGACGGATTTTAAGGTCGAGTCTGCTGGGAACCACTGGTCCCTGGGGAAGTCAAGTTCCCCACCCGTCGATACGGTCGAAGTGGTGGACACCTGAAGTTGAGGGTCTTAAGGTCTCGGTCGGCCCTACCGTAGAAATGTTGGCCACCTATTCAGAATTCTGGGAGTGGAGGTCCACAGGGGACGAAGCTGGCACCGTTGCCCGTCCCTGCTTCGCTCCAGTTCTGCCTCTGCGTTCCAGCTGGTGAAACACGCAACGGGCCGAAGCGCTTCCAGAGAGTGTGGTTTCGTTGCTTACCGAAAAGCCCAGTGGTTGTGGTCCCAAAGGAGGGGGCGCTGGTGGTGGTGGTGCCGAAGCCAGCGGGCTTGTTGCTGAAGAGAGACTGAAAAGGAGAAACAGACCGTAGTGACTTTCACAAGTGCAGGCGCCCAGAGGGAGCCAGGGAGGCCTTTTTTTGCAATTAGTGGACAATTAGTGCAATTGGGAAAGGAGGCAAAGCCACACAACCACTGCCCTTTCCTTCCGCACAAAAACTCCCCGGCCTGCCCAAGGCCGGAGGAAAGAAGGGACGAGGTCCAGTCTTGGGCCAGCACAGGCCCAGCTCCCAGGAGAAGGTGCCTTTTGCACCCAGGGGCCGAGCAACGCAGGGGGAGGCACACGGTCTTGTCCTAGCTGGGAATCTAGTCCTCACTGAGGGGGTGTGTGTGAAGCCAGGACAGATGTTTTCCTGTCAGCTGGAGAAAGGGTTTCTCCTTAGAGGTGGATGGCTGCTAGGAGGGGCCTGACCGGCGGGTTCTCTAGACCAGGGGTAGGCAACCTTGGCTCTTTTATGACTCGTGGACTTCAACTCCCAGAATTCCTCAGCCAGCATGGGGGAACTATGGCCCCCTTCGTGACTCCTGGACTTCAACTCCCAGAATTCCTGAGCCAGCATGGGGGAACTGTGGCCCCTTCATGACTCGCGGACTTCAACTCCCAGAATTCCTCAGCCAGCGTGGGGAACTATGGCCCCCCCTCATGACTGGTGGACTTCAACTCCCAGAATTCCTGAGCCAGCATGAGGGAAACTATGGCCCCTTCATGACTCGTGGGCTTCAACTCCCAGAATTCCTCAGCCAGCATGGGGGAACTTTGGCCTCCTCATGACTCCTGGACTTCAACTCCGAGAATTCCTGAGCTAGCATGGCTCAGCTTGGAAACCTCTCCCTTTCCCCTCAGCATGGCTGGCTCAGGAATTCCGGGAGTTGAAGTCCACGAGTCATAAAAGAGCCCAGGTTGCCTACCCCTGCTCTAGACAGCATCCCCAGGGGCATCAGGGACAGATTCCAGGAAGATCACAGGGATAGACAGTCCTCGACTTACGACCACAACTGAACACATTTCTGTTGCTGAGACAGTTACAGCTGTTAAGGGAAATCACTGCAGCTGCTAAGTTAGGACCACAGTTGTTAAGTGAATCCGGCTTCCCCCCTCAGAAGGTCTCAAAAGGGGATCACGTGATCCTCTCCCCCCCCCCCCGGGACGCTGCGACTGTCATCAATAGGAGTCGGTTGCCAAGCGTCCGGATTCTGATCTCCTGATCCTGGGGGAGGAAACCTGCCCTGGCTGTAAAGGCTGAAAAAACGGGGCTAGGTCACTTTCTTCAGGTGCCGTTGCGAATCTGAATGGCCGCTAAACGAATGGCCGTAAGCCGAGGACCCCCTGCAACCCCCCAGAACAGCCTCCTTGGGTCTGGGACCGGAGCGGAGAGGCTCTTCCCAGGGCTCCTTTTGTGACGGCTGCTTCTTACGACTCCCCAGGGCGTTGCAGACAAAGGATGCTTCCCGCCCTCACCGCCCCGACGGGAGGGTCCTCGGCTACCCTGGACCACCTTCACAGGGGACCCTGGCAGGGAATAGGCAATGGCTCGCCCACAAAGCTTCCCCTTTCCCCCCCCCCACGAGAGTTGCAGGTCAATCCACCTACCGAGCCGCCGACCCCAAAGCCGGCGTTGGGCTGTCCAAAGATTCCGGTTCCGGTCCCAAAGGCAGCGGCAGTGTTGGTGCTGGCCGCGGTGCCAAAGAGGCCTCCCGTCTGCGTGGGCTGGGCCGCTCCAAACAGGCCCTGCCAAGGACAGGGAGGGGTGAGGAGGGGTGTGTGTGTGTGTGTGTGTGTGTGTGTCACACAGAGATCCTTTGAAAAAGCTAGGCAAGAGAGAGAGAGGCCAGGAAAACCCTCCAGAGAAAGGAACTCTGCTGGGGCTTGGGCTGATTCAGCCGAGCTGAGCTAAGGAAGAATTTATGGAAGGGCAGAGCGGGGAGGGACCTCGGAGGCCTAGTCCCACTCCCTGCTTGAGCAGGAGACTTTGCACCACTTCAGTCCAGTGACTGTCCAAAAGCTCAGGGCTGAACTGTGGGGGCCCTTGGCGCTCCCCTAGCTGGGCGGTTTTCTTGCAGATGTTTCAT